TCAAAGGAGCCATTCTGGAGTTTTTGGTAAAGGATTCTTACAGTACTGTCCAGAACCCTCCAGGAAAGAAAACCTTCAAGCTTTCTAAATGGATTTGTTCTGGTTCACATTCCAAGTTAAAGGTGCAGTTAGCCACTAGGATTAGATTCTGGCAAGAGTAAATTTCAGAAGCTGGAACAATTTAAAACCCTATAACGTGCCAAAGCGACCAGGGCCAATTCCAAACCACAATAACCTGTCCCTGCATAGACCAGGGGCTCTGTATGTCTCTGAGGGCAGGCGGGGCTGGGGCCAAAGGGACAGCTGATCTCCAGGGCGACCCCAAACCCTTCAAGGGATCCAAACATAAGTTAATACTTACACGTGCCATCATTAACCTATGAAATTTCCCTCATTGCAGAGAAATCCTCTGCCGCACAAGATGGATAGTCACAGTGGCAACCTGACTCTTGCTGCCCTGGGAGGGGCCAGGCCGGGGGTTGAGAAAATGGGTGGAGGCATCATCTCCTGCAGATTTCTCATGGTGCTGTGCTGAGTGCAGCCATCTAATGGAACAACCATGTAGAACTGCTGTTTGCAGAGTTGTTGTAGCTGTTTGGATCCCAGGATATGAGAGAGACAGGGTGGGTGAGGTAATGTCTTTTATTGGACCAACTTCTATTGGTGGAAGAGATAAGCTTTCGAGCTCCACAGAGGTCTTCTTCGGGTCAGGTCTTCTTCTCACCCACCTTGTCCCTCTCACGTAGAGGCTCTTCAAGCTCAAACGCCTGGGTTTTCTAGCCCCCTCAGGGGGAATAACCTGCAGGTGAGACTGATCCCCAAATGATCATTAAAAATGTATTGTTTGAGATTTAGCATCCACCTAATAGATCCACATATAGTGCCAAGGTACATGAAATTATAATGATAGCCATATAGTAGCCTCCTCAGATGGATGGAAGTTGGAACAGTGGGGACCGAATCCTGAAGAAGGGGTTTCTTTTGCAAACAGGCCCTGGGCAGCTTGCACCCATCTCTGAACCTTGCCAGGGTGCAGGCGACTGGTTCTAGTTTTATTCGCTGATGGCCATGACTCTACTTGGTGTTTCTAATAGCCCAGGCTATGCTCCAGCTGTGGTTTTGTTTAATGGAGAAGCTTGTTGCAAAGTAAAACCAGAGCGAACAGTGAAACGTGTCTCAGCAGCCATGTGTTTCTCCTCGTCTAATCAAAGCACTCATGTCAATGATTCTTTGAAGCCAAAGGAAGTATTAAGGGCATGAGCCTGCAGGTGGCTGACCATCCCTGAGGGTACCTCTACTCTGCAGCTGGAGATGTGATTTCCAGACCGGGTAAAGGTACCTGCGCTAGCTTTGATCAAGCGACCGCACCAAAAATAGCAGTGTCGCCGCGGTGGGGTGGGCTAACCACCTGGGTATGATCCTATCTGAGACGCTGAGTATGTACTCGGGTGGCTAGCCCAACACCACCATAGCTGTACCGCTGCTTTGAGCGCTCTAGCTCAATCCAACGAGCGTGGGTCCAGCCACCCGAGCCGGAATCTACACCTCCAGCTGCGGTGTAGGTGTGGGATAGTGCCTAGACAGAGCCCTCACCTCCCATGGACTTCGGGGGACCTGAGTGCTGAGCACCTATTAAGACCAGTCCCAAATCCGTTCAAACCCATTGAGGGGATAAACCTACTGTATTGAGTGTGTCTCAGGGTGTGAAGCAAAGCGCCCGGTTGAATGCATAGAATTGGATGCATGCAATAGCGCGATGTAAAAATAGCAAGCAGCAAAACTGTGGGTGGGACAATCGCTTTATGTGACATTCCATTTGCAAACTCGCCCAAGGAAGCTGGCAGAGAAACTTGGTTCCAGAGGGATCAGTCCCATCCGGTGCAAACTGGAGCATCTCCAGGGGTGCTCTAGCTTACGCCAGCCCCAGAGGCACCATTCTGCCAGGTGGAGATCAGTGCAGTTTTGCACCAGCCATGCCCCCAACTCCTACAACTGACCCACCCTGGAATAGCTTCTTTAGGGTTGGGAGCAGTTGGCTTAAAGCCAACAGTGGAATTTCTGGGACAGTTTTAAGTCCTGTTGGAGTGGTGCAAGGAGGACTTAACGTAGGCCCAGGGTCTGGCCCTTCGATGTCTTTGGTTGTGACCTAAACCACGAGGAGCAGGTATCTTGGATGCTGGTTTATATATTGTTTGTTTTTTAAACCAGAGTAAAAAAAGATTTTCCTCTTTGAATTCCATGTTTTCTAACATGAGTCCGGCAGAGAACGCACATCTCAATGTGCTAGCGTGAAAAACACAGTGTGTGCGCTCAGCTTGGAAATAACCGAAATGCCTGGAGTTAAAAAATGATACCCCTGGCTCTTTGGAGTGTGAGGTTGCATTAGGAAAGAACACATTGTGGGTTTTAGCCCACGAAAGCTTATGCCCAAATAAATATGTTAGTCTCTAAGGTGCCACAAGTACTCCTGTTCTTTTTACTGATACAGACTAACACGGCAGTCACTCTCAGCGGTTTCACTGCTTTAAACAGTCCTTCCATTCCACGTGAAAATAAATCCTCAGATATGAACGGGCTATTAATTGAATGAGACCTCATGAGATCCCCAAACAATCCCCGGTTTGTCTGCCATGTACTAATTACAATTGATCAAAGTGCAGGTCTGGGTCTCTCGGGAGGAAGATTTATTAAACAAAACATGGTGGCTGCTTCCAAAATGGGCAAGGAACTGTATTGTCTGGACTGTTTGTTCATTTCCAAGGGCACGTATTATACAGCGTGTTTGTATTAGCGCACAGCAAAGACTTGGTGGGCAGGTGGGAATTGTAATTGCAGCGTAGGCTCAATGCCGTGACACCTTGTTGCCATTTACTCCCTGATAATATTGTTCGTGATCATTCTCCTAGGGCATTGCTGGAACTGATTTCACGGCTGGGGAAGTAGCTGGCCAGCCTTAGAAATGTTTCCCTTTGAAACTGAGCAGCGGTGGGAGAGCTGGAAATTGCATGGGAGGCTTGCCGATGAAACTTGGATTCTATCAGCTGTGTTGGGGCATCGGGTTGATAAGGAGATTTTTGAACTGTTCTTTGCCACCACTGCAGCCAGCAGAGGTCCCTCGGTGGAGAAACCACTTTACTGGTCCCGTGGGGAACTCCTGCTGCCTTGCACGATTGTTTTTTAGGATGGATTTGCTTCCTGCTTTCTGGGCTTTGGGCAGGTGGGTCCCTTCAGTAGAAGCGGCTTTAATAGTGGAATCTGGATTGCATTTGTTTAATATTTCAGGACTGTTTCAAAAAGCCTGAGGCACTGAGGCGAAGCCTTGTTCTAGTTTTGATTTTGAGTGAGATTTGCAGTCAGAAGGAAATATTGCAAGACTCCAAGGGCTATTTTTCGTGATCCACTTGATTCCTGAACAGCAGTAGGATGGATGGGTCTGTTACCCAACTGCAATGTAGGGGTTAGGTCCTCCCATCTCCCACGGGCTTTACAAGAATGAAATCCATTAATGTCTGTGAGGGGATGAGGGCAATATAACTTACCTGGATAGAAACAGGGAAGAGAGGTCATTTCCTGATGATAAAGGTACTGTGGGACTAGCAACACACAGCCACAAGAGGGTGCAAGGGGGGAGGATGAAATATCGAGAGGTAGCTCAAAGAAGCCACAGTACAGTCCTACAGTGGCTTATGAGACCTACATTTTTCTGAGATTTGTTGTAATTCCCTTTGAGAAATTCTTATTAAGCTCACAGCAATCTTTTGGTTACATAGCATCCTGAGCAAGCCAGGATTTGGGGGAAACCAATGATAAGCAGAGAGGAATAAACATTCAGTGGTGTCATCTAAATAAACATGGCCTGACGGAGGAAGGATGGTCTATTGGTTAGAGTGCCCACCTGGGACTCAGGAGATCCAGGTTCAATTCTCTGCTCTGTTACGGGCTTCTTGAGTGACTTCTGGCAAGTCACTTAATCTCTCTGTGCATCAGTTCCCCATCTGTAAAATGGGGCTAATAGCAATGATGTTCATAAGTATATAGCCTGATTAACCCAGCCACATTGGCAATGTTCCACATAGGAAAGACTGGGGAAAATAGAGCAGAGAGATGTGGAGAAAGTAATTATATATATATATATATATATTAAAAAAAAACTCTAGTAAACATACCATATCTGAGGTACCTTTTTTATGTCATCCAAGGTTCTGAGGGTAGTTCTTTCTCTAATACATAGCACAGACTTCCCATTAGACATGCAAAAATAATTTTTTAATTTCAGTCATACTTGCGGGCTAAATAGTGATTTAATTTATTGGGTGGAGGGACGTTCGGGAGGAGAGACAAACTCCATTTGTAGCGTAGCCTACCCACAGTTTTTGAACCAGTAACATTACTTAGGTTAGGGGTGTGATTTTTTTTTTTAACTGACATGGTCACATTGTACAAGCCCTAGTGTGGACACAGTAATACAGTACTAGTATAAGGGTGCCTTGTACAGGTAGAGCTCATAACCCATACAACTGCATCCACACTGGGGTGGGGGTTCCTACTGCTTTAACTTGACCGCTATTGTTAAAGTGGCACAACTCCTATGTGTGGAACAAGCCTGTTCTTAGGGTACGGCTGCACTACAGAGGCTATGCCGGCATAACTATGTTGCCGTAGCAATGCTGGCATAACCCCATCATGCAGATGCAGCCTCACCAACAGAAAGGTTTTTTTTATCAGAGTAGGGACGCCGCCTCCCCCATACGATGGTAGCTAGGTTGACGGAAGCATTCTCCCGTTACATAGCTGTGTCTACACTGGGTGTTGGGTCGGCATTGCTACATAAATCAGGGTGTGGGGGGGTGTTGTACACACCTGACCAATAGAGGGTCCTGTGGCACCTTTGAGACTAACGGAAGTATTGGGAGCATAAGCTTTCATGGGTAAGAACCTCACTTCTTCAGATGCAAGTAAGAAGAAGTGAGGTTCTTACCCACAAAAGCTTATGTTCCCAATACTTCTGTTAGTCTCAATGGTGCCACAGGACCCTCTGTTGCTTTTTACAGATTCAGACTAACACGGCTACCCCTCTGATACTTGACACCTGACCAATGTTGCCCTAATTTTTAAGTGTCGACCAGGCCTTATGGAAGACAAAAACCCAGTTCAAGACTCCCAAAAGCTTGAAGTTCCTGAGGCCCTGCCCATCCCCTGTACCCAGGGGATGTGTTGCTTAAATGAACAAAAACTGCCCAAAGTTTTGCTTCTGTTGATGAGTGCTTTGAACCCATGAAGTTCAACTAGTTGTGAAATTCCCTGAAATGGGCTCTCCTGACCCCTGGCTTTGGCTGTGTTGTGTGATTTGGAGGGTTTTTCTTTTAAACCGGCAGAGTCACACTGATTCTACCGAGTGGGCTGAACTCTGCTGTCAGTCACAGCCTCTGGGCTGAGCTGTACATGTCAAACTCCACGTTCCCCCTTCAACCCCAGTGGAACTCCCATGAGCTCACGGAGGTGTTTGCACAAAGAGCAAGGGTGAAAAGTCTTTGTGCAGTAAGTAAAACCCTCACTATTTCACTGTCTCATTCAGCATCACTTTTTATACCTCTGCTGTTTCTGCCCTTTGTATCTCTTTCCTCCCCATCCTCTTTTCTCTCTCTCCTCTGTTTGCCTTAATGCACAGGGAGGAAAGGAGCAGTTTCTTCCTTGCAGTTATTCCCACCCATCCATCTTCTAGAAGCTTGACTCCTCCCCCTTCCCCTTTTCAGCTGCAAAAACACACCGCAATTAAATAGTTAATGTTGACATCATAACAGTCATCATTAGCTCAACAAATAATGAAATGCATAGATTATAAAGCCAAAGGAGACCTTGTGATCATCTAGTCTGACCTTCTCTATAACACAGCTTGTAGGACTCCCCTGAATTATTTCCTATTTGAACAAGAGCATCTTTTAAAAAAAAAAAAACTTCCAAACCTAAAATTGCCAGTGATGAAGAATCTACCACAAACCTTGGTGAGTTGTTCCAATGGTTGACTACCATCACTGTTAAAAACTTGTACACTATTTTTTCTTCTTCTTTTATGCCGCTTTTCCTGGTGAGGGTCACGGTGGCAGCATGGAGAGTAGGGAGGACTAGACCTCCTTTTCCTCCGCAACAGGTTCCAGCTCCTCCTGGGGGTATTTCTCCCCCCCCCCACCCAGCATTCCCAGGCCAGCCAGGAGATATAATTCCTCCAGTGTCTCCTGCGTCGGCCTCAGGGCCTCCGCCCAGTGGGACATGCCCGCTATAGTTCCAACGGAAGCCTCCCGGGGGCATCCTTATCAGATGCCCGAACCACCTCAACTAGTTCCTCTCGATCCGGAGGATCGTCTTTTTGGGCTGGGCCCGGACAGGTTACATGGGTAGCCTGAACACCAGACGCTCGCCTGACACCTCCCCCAGAGGTAGATCCCATTATTCCTAGTCCAGGCAAGGTTTGCATGGTCATTTTTGGGCTTTCATGAGGGTCTTGAGGTGGATCATTTTTAGTCTGGAACCTCCCCCAACCTATTCACCTTGGGTGACCCTACCAGGTGCACTAGGCTCCAGGCGGCATAGCCCTGGGGTTCATCTGAACATGCAAGCCCCTCCACCACAACATGGTAACACTCCTCAGAGAGGAATGGCCCCCTATTTCTAGTCTGAATTTGTCTAGCTTCAACTTTAAGCCATTGGATCTTGTTATACCTTTGTCTGCTAGATCGAAGAGCCCTCTGTTATCAAATCCCCATGCTCCGTATCAATACTTATGGACTGTGATCACCATCCCTTAATAATTCTCTTTGTTAAGCTAAGCCAATAGACTCAAGGAGCTCAATCATTAAAGAACTGGAAGACAGGCCTTCTAATCAGTCTGGTGGCTCTTCTCAATGAGGGCAGGTTAGGGAGTCCAGACTCCACCAAGCCAGTGTTTTCACTGTTATCTTGCAGGCTTAAGAAGACCAGGCTGCATCCTATAGACTCAGATCAAATTTGGAAGGTTCTCCTGGCAACCACGAGGGGCAGAAATGCCAATGTTTTGAAATTGAAGTTTAGGTTCTGCAGAACCTAAACAAGTCAGGTAGGCCCATCCGGCATGCATGGTGCTTGACAACGCCTCCATTTCAAACAGCAGCATTTCCTCATGAAAAGCCGCCCACTTCCTTTTACAGTAAGAAACTGAATCAAATCAGTGGTGATGTACTCAATAAGCCAGAATTGTAAAGCCTTCCTAAAGGGCCGGGAGGAGGAACTGCACCCAGCTTTGCCTGAGACAGATAGAATAATCCATTTTCAAACAGGACCAACACCTTTTCTAATTCTGCTCATATCACGTTCTCTTACCCCAGTGATTTGCTCCCTATGTGACTTTCGATCTTGTCACTCATTTTTTAAAGCCAGACAGCTCATTATGGCATTTTGGTTCATACCTGGCAGCCACTGAAATCGAGCCATTTGTGATCTTTATCCAAAGGCGCTACATCAGCTAGCAGTGATTCAAAGAAGCTAGAGAATGTTTGACACTTGGGACAGGCAGAACTTTGCAAACTGTGTGTTGGGGGAGGGAACCATGATGTAAATCATGTCATCATGGGTCTGCTGCAGATAAAACAGCTGGGAGAGCAATTTTAGCATCACTGTTACCCCTGGTTTGTATCACCTTTGAGCTAGAGTGTAGGGAAAGTCACATCTCTGTGTGGGATGCGAGAGAAATGATATTTCCAAAGGACTTTCCCCTCTCGGTCTAGTTCTTACAATACTGGCTCGGTGTAATCTGCAATAAACAACTCTGATCCCAGTGGGTTATTATAATATTTTTCTATAAGGAAAAAATAGTTTCCATTTGTTTTGCATCTCCAAGATGTGCTGCTAGAGACACTGTCTTCTGTGCATCTCCTCCAGAACCCAGTAATGATGGTTCTTCTGCAGAAACAAAACTAACGGGATGATATCTTTTTCGGTTTTCCTCATTGTCTTTACCTGCCTTTCCCCTTTTGTGAAGATCCTGGGCAATTTTTTTTTCAGTGTCTTCCAATAACGTTGTCAATAAATTAAACAGAAGAGCAATCCAGGCCAGGCCAAAGATAATCCAAATGGCCACCAAAGATCGGTAATAGGAAGGATAATTCTTGTCAGGCTGTTTACCTGAATACAAGGAGAAAAAATAAAGGAGAATCAATTAAGAAATTGAATTCAATTTGCCTGAGTACAATTGGTTGAGCTAGTGTGTTGGTCAGAATATTTCACGTTGAATACTTTGAAAAGGACACTAACATGTAGTGTGTTGCTTCATCTTTCCAAAGGGAATGCAACTAGGCTACATTTTCCACTGGAGAAATGCTTTATTCGATTGGGGTGTGGGAACTAACATAGGCAAACCCAATAATTTGTAGTGATATACAACAATGTAACCATATTATATTAGTATTAAGATGTTCCAGGATATGTTTTAGTAGCAAGCACAAGGACAGAGTACAATGGAGGAGTGTAGCTGAAATGTACCATGTCTACCAACGTATACCACCTTCATAGACTTACCTAGCAAAGGGTGATTGTGAGCTAATAAATAGCTGTCACAAACAGCAGACGACCTTGCATGTATAGGAGAAACCTACAATTCATACGTTACTTCCTACAGGCTGCAGGGCCTACTCCATTAAAATAGAATGAAATGCATTGAAAGCAACTGATGAAAACTCTCTGCCACGTACCGAAAACCGAAGGCACAACTTTCCGGATTTGAAACCACTGGATTGATGTGTATTTCACGCAGTCCAAACCTTTTAACATCACTGGGAGTTCGCCACCTGCTGTTCTACACAGGTCATTTAGTGTGGCTACTCAGACATAAGCAATCCTCCAACAAGGGAAGCTTTGTTCCCACTCTATTTAGTCACATGTAACCTTAATAGTACAATGCAGCCAAGGCGGCTCACTGAAATGTAAACTTCTGCTTGGCTAACGCGTAAGGTCGAAACATCAGCATGGAATCTTCAGAATAACAGGCCTCGACGCTAAGTGTAACTGCACTGTGTGCATTTACATTGTGTGAATCCCAAACCGTGGCACACAAAACTCTGCTGTTTTGCTACATTTTTGTAGCAAAATTAAAGGGGGTGGATTTGGGTCGGGGTTTGAGTATCTGTGACACTCTGCACCCCATATTCACCATAGTGATATGATTATTATATAACTGATGCATCTTGTACAAGATATGGCATGTGAGGTGTCTATGGGGAAGTTATGGTTTGCTGAATATGATTATCCTATTTGTATGAATGTATCATTTTTGTATCTGCAGTTATCAATATTGACTATGTATTTGTATTTCCAATGTGCTTGCACTTGGGTAACCCACACAAAGCTTTATGTACAGTCTGCCAGCACACTGGGAATAGCCTATTCAAGTTGAATGGCCCATCAACAAAGGCAATGGGGAAAGCTTATCTTCGCCTGATGAACTGTCCTGGGGACGCTTCAGTCAGCCTATGGATAATAGCTACCATGACTCACCGAAGCCTGCCCGGGCATTTGACTAGATCACGTGATCCTGGACTCCATTTTGGTACCTGTATTTTTCCACAAACTAGACTGGGAACTTGGCATGGAACAAAGTGGTTCCCACCATATGGAAGAAGCTATAAAAGGGGGATGTGACATCACCAATTTGCTTCACTTTCTACACAAGAGAACACTTGGAAACACCTGAGGAAAAAGACTGAGCTGGGGGAAGTGCTGGTCCCAGACAGAAAAGAAGGAAGTCAGTCTGTGTATGAGGACTGTGGACTGTTTATACTATTTAACAGGGTGAGACACTGCTTATTTCAAATCCTAACTAGTATATTAGGCTTAGATTGAGTTTCTGTTTATTTCCTAGGTAATCTACTTTGATCTGTTTGCTATCACTTAAAATCTATCTTTCTGTAGTTAATAAATCTGTTTTATATTTTATCTAAAACAGTGTGGTTTGAGTGACATGCTTGGGGGGAAAAGCTTAACTCGGGAATGAGAGTCGGTGCACATCCACTTTCCTTTGTAGAAATGGGAGACTGGGTAATAAATCCATACTGGTCAGGCTTTTAACCAGGGCAGGATGGTACAGCTCCAGGGTCCTAGGCTGGGGAGCTGGGGGTATTTTGGCTGAAGCCTCTCTCTTGTTAGTTAATGAATGGCTCTGGGAGCATTCATTCAATCTAGTTGGGTGTGGGGCTCCACATGCTGTTGTGCTGAGTGATAACAGTGCCTGGAGGGGTTTGCTGCTTGTCACTAGTCAGGCATTGTGAGAGACAGCCCAGGCTGGAGAGTTCAGAGGGCAAAATGGTACCCCAGTTCCAGGTTGCACCCTGGAGGGCTTTGCAGCTTGTCACAATGTCAACGTGTGAGAGGGAACCCAGATGGGCAAGACAGATGGTTCAGCAGTACCCCAGTTCCAGGTTGCACCCTGGGAGGCCTGTCGCAATATCTATTTATCTTTTCTCTGGGACAAATATGGCCCCGCAGACATGTGACAAAGAAAACAGGAGAAACGTGCAAACATTTCTGCCTTTCTGTTCTTGTCCCAGGTCCTAAGTAGCTTTTCAGTTATGGCCCTGACGGCTGCCTGAAAACGTTGTTTAGAAGGGAAGTGTAGCTCTGAGTATTGGGATTTACATTGAGGATCATTTGTCATGGATAATCCCATGTGGGTGGAATGAAGAGAGTATGAGTAGCCCCTGGAGTGGAGGCCTGTATGGGTGTGGAGGAGCCCTAACCTTCATGAAACTGGGGAGGGGCAGGATGAAGGGAACCTGGACAGGATTCTGCATCAGCTGGAAACCATAGAGCTCTGTGCAGGTTTCTTCTGCCCAAGCCCGCAGAGATTTTGTAGATGGGAGAGAAATGGGCCAGGGAGGTGTATGTATGGGGCCACAGATCTAACAGCCATTTCCCTTGTTTTCTGGATGTAGAGAAGTTGGCATAGGAGCTGTAAGAGCAGCTGTAAGGCTGGGAAGACTCTCTTTCCTCGGTGGGCCCAGTAACTCAGGATGTGAGCCGGGGACAGGACTTGGGCTGTGGACTGTATTAACAAAACCAATTGGAATCGCTGCTCCAAGGCAGTTGTGTAGCTCAAGAGGTATAAAATCCCACTATGTGGCAAGCCACCGTAAGACCTATGCACCACTTTATTGCTCAACATTTGGCTTAGGTGGTGCTTTGACCTAAATGTGGCCCTCTGCATAGGGGGAATTTTATATAGGTGATACTTCCCGGGTAAGATTTTAAATGAACGAATGTGATCCAAACTCACGCACTAGGCAACTTATTTATGGCCTATCTCCCTTCACAGAGAAGGCATTATCTTGCTGCTGTGATATAACAGTTGCATAATGCTTTTTACCCAGTAAGATTGCTGCATGCAAATGAGCTCAAGCAAATTATTTTCCAATTGGCTATTTCACATCTGGCCATGTAAAGTAGTGCGAATCCATTCATTG